GGGGTGGGGGGTCGCGAGTCCGGGGGCCCTTCCCCTCCGCCGCGCCCCACCCTCAGTCGCAGCTCCTCCTGGCCGCGCTCCCTGGGAGGTGGGCTGCTGGTTCACCTGGACCCCGCTCTGGGATGCCCCGCGGGGCCGGGCTGGGGCTGCCTGCAGCTGCCTGCACATTCCCTGGGACTCAGAACCGGGGCCCAGCTCGGCCCGACAGCAGGGAGACCTCAGGAAAAACCTCCCGCCGTCCTCCCCATCACCCAGCGTCCAAATCCCTGGGCAGGAAAGAGGCTGCTCCGAACTGGCTGGGGCCTGCAGGAGGGCTGAGCTTTGCGGGCTTCGGCGTCTTCCACCTCCTGTCCCCCACCCCGATACCAGAGCCAGGGAGGGGCCGCGTAGATCCCTGCAAAGACCCTCGGGACTCAGCGGTGGCCAGGGCCGAGCAGGTGCATTTACCTTTCCAGATCTCCACCTGGAGGAGGCAGCCAGGATCTGCACCTGTGGCCCCATTCTGTAACTGGGGAAACTGAGACCCCGGCGTTATGAGACCAGGCTCCCAGTTGAACCCTCCCCACTTCCCTGTGCAGCAGCCCTGGGAGGCTGAGGGTTGTTGGGGTGGGCCGGACTGATCCAGGCTTCTCTGCCCTGCAGACATGTCCTTCCGCAAAGTGGTCCGGCAGAGTAAATTCCGGCATGTGTTCGGGCAGCCCGTCAAGAATGACCAGTGCTACGAGGACATTCGAGTGTCCCGTGTTACCTGGGACAGCACTTTCTGCGCAGTCAACCCCAAGTTCCTGGCAGTGATTGTGGAGGCCAGCGGTGGGGGCGCCTTCCTGGTGCTCCCCCTAAGCAAGGTGGGCCCCATCAGGGCCAGAGGAAGAACTGGCAGTGCCTGACCACACCTGCCGGGCCTTTCCACACCTCACATCCCTTATCTTGCCCATCCCCACGCTGCTGGGCAGATATCATAATCTAGATTTCCTGCCCAGGTGTTAGCACAGATGGAGAAAGTGTTTTATTGCCATGTAGTCAGGGTCAGAGGCAACAAACATTTCCTGCTCACCTGGTGGGTGGGGCACAGTCACATCTGGGCCACCTGTGAGCCAGGCCAAGCGCATCATTTCCACTCCATGGAGGAGAAGACTAAGGCTCTGGGAGGGAGGGAGGGAGCCCAGGGGTCTTGGGTCCCCCCTGATTGCCCCTCATGTCCTCAGATGGGCCGCATTGACAAGGCCTACCCGACGGTGTGTGGGCACACAGGACCTGTCCTGGACATCGACTGGTGTCCCCACAATGACGAAGTCATCGCCAGCGGCTCGGAGGACTGCACGGTCATGGTGAGGCACAGTACAGGTTGGGCAGGGGTCTCAGGTGTGCCGGCAGCAGGGGCAAGCAGAGGCCTCAACCTGGTGTGCCCACCCCTACTGCAGGTGTGGCAGATCCCTGAGAACGGGCTGGCCTCCCCACTGACGGAGCCGGTGGTGGTTCTGGAGGGGCATACCAAGCGAGTGGGCATTATCACCTGGCACCCAACAGCCCGAAACGTGCTTCTCAGTGCAGGTCTGCACCACTCCCTACCCCGTCCCCCTGTCCCTCTCCATATGGCTCTGGAACATCACAGCATCCTGTCTCAGGCCCATCTGACAGATGGGAAAGCTGAGGCCCACAGAGGCAGAGAGACCCAGTCCCAGCGGGTGGGCAAAGTAGGCCTGGTGGGCTGATGGCCCCCCACCACCCGCCAGGCTGCGACAACGTGGTGCTCATCTGGAACGTGGGCACAGCGGAGGAGCTGTACCGCCTGGACAGCCTGCACCCTGACCTCATCTACAATGTCAGCTGGAACCGCAACGGCAGCCTCTTTTGCTCGGCATGCAAGGACAAGAGTGTGCGCATCATTGACCCCCGCCGGGGCACCCTGGTGGCAGTACGTGACCCGGGAAGGCAAGGATGGCAGTGGACAGGCCCAGGGGCTTGATCGGGGTGCTGCACTGACCAGCCTGTATCCCCACAGGAGCGGGAGAAGGCTCACGAGGGGGCCCGGCCCATGCGGGCCATCTTCCTGGCCGATGGCAAGGTGTTCACCACGGGCTTCAGCCGCATGAGCGAGCGGCAGCTGGCGCTCTGGGACCCAGTGAGTGGCTGTGGCCGGCCTGAGTGGGCAAGCTGGAGACTTGGGCCCCACCCTGGGGAGCTCCCCACTGAGCCAGGTGGCAGGGATCACCCTGGAGAGGCCTGTGGTTTCCGGGTTCTCAGCCAAGCACTCAAGGCTCTCACGACTGGGGCCACGCTGGCTTGTCCCCCTGCTCTCCAGCCCTCCCCAACATCTCCATTGCCTCCCACTACCTCCCGTGCCTGTGCCCACGTTGTTCCTCCCACTGAAAAGCCCTTCCCTCCTTTGCTTGCCTGAACCACCCAGCTGCTCTTTGAGGTCCAGGGTAGAGGCTGCCTCCTCCAGGAAGCCCCCCAGCCCTTCCCCTGAAGCTCTCTGTTCCACAGACCTGTGCTTCTGTACAGTGACCTCCACGGCCCTTTTGAGGCAGAGGCTGGCACCCCTAGACTCCCTGTGGTGGGGATTTTCTCACACTTGCTCAGTGGCCTGGGAGTAGTGTTAAGACCTGGAGGAGGCTAGAAAAATGGGGCCGAGAGTGGAGAGGAGCCAGGAGGGGTTGGTGGGGCACACTGTGTGGGCAAAGTCTCAGAGGTGGGAGAGCCCATCAGCATGTTTGGGGTCAGTGCTGGCTGGCATGTGAGGCCTGCTAAGGCCAGTCCTGGTGGAGGGTTGGGGTTGGGGGAAGTTCCAGCTTGGTCTGACTGTCCCCCTGTGTCAGGAAAACCTTGAGGAGCCCATGGCCTTACAGGAGCTGGACTCAAGCAATGGGGCCCTGCTGCCCTTCTACGACCCAGACACCGGCGTGGTCTACGTCTGCGGCAAGGTGGGGCTGGGCAGGGCTGGTGGGGGTAGAGGAGAGGGGTGCCCGAGTGCTGAGCTCACTACCCCCACAGGGTGACTCCAGCATCCGGTACTTTGAGATCACAGACGAGCCCCCTTACATCCACTTCCTGAATACCTTCACCAGCAAGGAGCCCCAGCGGGGCATGGGCAGTATGCCCAAAAGGGGCTTAGAGGTCAGCAAGTGCGAGATTGCCCGGTAAGAGGGGCCACCGAGGCAACCCTGAAGGCGGGGTTCAGCTTGGGGATGGCCTGGAGATGGGTCACCCTGGGGGTCAGGGGCCAGGCCATTGGCATGCAAGGTGAGAGGTCAGGTCATTTGGGGATGGCCTGGAGATGGGTCAGGGGTTCAGCTTGGGGATGGGTCACCCTGGGGGTCAGGGGCCAGGCCATTGGCATGCAAGGTGAGAGGTCAGGTCATGCCCCTACTTAGGAGTAGGAACAGGCCATAGGAGGACCCAGGGGTCAGCCTGTGGGCACCCATGAGGCAGGGAGGTGGGGAGGCCATGGGAGTGAGTCACCAGGCAGCATATGGGAGGGATCTAGGGGCCAGCTGTGGGAGGGCCTGGAGTGAGGACTGGAGGGGGAGGGCAGGGGGAGCCAAGAGAGCTGGGGGATGGTCCCACCCATGGCTCCTCCACTTTCTTCCCAGGTTCTATAAACTGCATGAGCGCAAGTGTGAGCCCATTGTCATGACTGTGCCAAGAAAGGTGAGACCACGTGGTTCCCCTGCCCACCTGCTCCGTTCTCTAGCAGACACGCCATGCAAGGGTGACCAGGGTGAGGCCTGTGACTGGGACCTGACCAAGTGTGGGGTGTGCTCAGTAGGCTGGACACCAGCATGCCCTTGTACCCAGCCAGCTGTTGGGCTGTGCCAGGCAAGGGTGAGACAGAGTGAGCTGAGACATGCCCATCAGTCAGGGAGGGAGTGGCAGCCACGGAGGTCTTCCTGTAGGAGACAGAACTGACAGCACAGCTGAGGTGGTGCCATCCAGTGGCGGGTAGGCCGGGCAACGGGCGTGGAGGTGGGAATGGAGAGAGAGGGACAGGAAGTCTGGCCACAGTGGAAGGTCCCATGAGGAGGGGATCAGGCCATGACTTGTGGCTTGGCCCCCAATGCCCAACCAAGAGCCTTGGACACACTACATAATTTTCCAGTGGGCGTTCATTGAGCTCTTCATTCAATGTGCCAGGCACGTTCTGAGAGCGCGAGGCTGTGAACAAGGCCCCCAGGGCCTGCGCAGGAGCTCAGATGTGGCCCTCAGAATCCCACAAAGCCACATAGCTGGCCCCTGCGGCTTGCAAGGGGAGGGTGGTGATGGGCCCTGCTCAGGAAAACTGGTGAAGGCCTCAGAGGAACCTGTTGGTGGTGCCCAGAGGGAAGTGAAAGGACACATTTGAGCTTTAGAAAGGTCACTTGGGCTGGCTGGTCAGCTTGCTTGGTTAGAGCATGGAGCTGATAACACCAAGGTCCAGGGTTCCATCCCTGTACCTGCCAGCCACCAAAAAAAAAAAAAAAAGTTTTTACTGGGGGCTAGGCCTTGGAGGATGGTTGACAGAGTGCAAGCCTGGAGGCCACCAGGGCCACCAGTGGATCCTGACCAGTCCCCCCCACCCCCGCGCAGTCTGACCTCTTCCAGGACGATCTGTACCCCGACACAGCTGGGCCCGAGGCAGCCCTGGAGGCGGAGGAGTGGGTGAGTGGGCGGGACGCCGACCCCATCCTCATCTCACTGCGGGAGGCCTACGTGCCCAGCAAACAGCGGGACCTGAAGGTCAGCCGGCGCAACGTGCTGTCTGACAGCCGGCCCACCGTGGCCCCTGGCTCTGCCCGCCCGATGGCCTCCACAGCTGCTGCCACCACCACTGCCACCACCACCAGTGGCAGCTTTGCTGGAGCTGGGGTATGAGCCCCCAGCCGGGGATGGTGTTGGGGAGCTCTCTGTAGGCCTGAGGCCTCTGCTGGGTGGCAGGTTTGGGGAGTGCTGTGGCTCATGGCCCCTCACTGTCCCCTCACCGCCATGTCCCTTCAGGAGGCTGGGAAGCTGGAGGAGGTGATGCAGGAGCTACGGGCACTGAGGGCGCTGGTCAAGGAGCAGGGTGAGCGCATTGGCCGCCTGGAGGAGCAGCTCGGCCGCATGGAGAATGGGGACGCATAGGACCACCCGCCCGTGGACACCACTTCCCCCACGCTGCCACCTGCTCCTCCACCCCCTTCTCACTCGGCTTCTGCTGGCAGGTCACACCTCCCGGTGGGCCTCTGGGGCAGATCAGGGGCCAGTTCACACCCAACCTATCCTGGGCCCCAGTCCGGAGCCACCACCTGGCTTTCGTCATTGTTACTGAGGAGGATTTTTGTACCAAGGCAAGCTTGCTTGTACTCTGAGGGACCATCTCCGCCACCCCCGCCCAGCCCTCTGCTACCTCCCCAAAGGAAGCAGTGCGAGGGATGGGCTCTCTATTTTCATTCCAAATAAAATTCTCTTTCTAAAAGCCAGGTTTGACATGCTGCTGCAAGGGTGGGGCTTGAAAGGAAGTCTGGAAATGTGGGAACAGATGAGGCCACAGGAATCACAAACAGGAGAAAGTTCTGGGGGCCCCGAAAAGCCCTATAGTCGTTTCTCTCCAAAATTGTGAGGAAGGGAAACTGAAGCATTAGACCTGTGGACATGTCCAGGGCCATGTCCTGCTTTGAGCTGGGCGCCCAGTTCCTCTCGGCCCCGCAGCCCCAGCTGCATCCCCACAGTCCGATGAGGGTGTGGTGTGGATCAGGGTGGTCCTGAGAAGCCAAAGCCCCAGCACGGTGCTGTGGCAGTGAGGAGTGGGTGGGGTGTTGCAGGCAGGAAACGGAAGCGTCAGAAACCCCTAGCTGCAGTGAGAGCTCCAGAGCTCACTTCTCGCTCAACACAGCCAGGGCCGGAGGTGGGCGCCCAGCGCGGAGGCCTGTGGACCAATGGTGAGCACCAGGGCCCACTGGGTTCTTGGGGTGGGGGCTGTAGGAGGTCGGCGCTGGAGTGTCTGGGCCCCGGGGGCTAAGGAAGGATCCCTCCACTGGGGGCCGGGGCCAGACAGGCCAGGATGAGCATGGGGCAGAAGCCAGGCCTTCCTCCTCACCTCAGCTGGGCTCCCCAGGGCTCAGAGGTAGTCCCTAGCATCTCCTTCACAATCCCTGGGATAGACCCTCACCTTCTCTTGTGAGCCAGAGCTCGGGCAGAAGGCACAGGTCCACTCGCGCGCTGGGGCCTGGGCGCGCAGCCCAGGGTGGGGTGGGGACGCTGGCTTGTGCCTCCTACCCCTCCCCCACACCCTCCACCTGCCGCTCCACAGACCGACCCGACCGCAGGCTTCCTCTGGCAGCTGCACCCGCCTCCCCAGCCCCCGGCCCTGCACCCTGAGGCCCTCAGGGACGGACTTGAACGGAAACCTGCACCTGGGGCAGCCCTGTAGCTGGGGGGGGGGAGGAGGGGCCTCAGGGACCCCCATCCTGGGACCCGGCCAGGGGAGACGAGCAGTTGCTTCAGGGTGGTCCAGGCCCCTCCATCCCGGGCCTCCCCTCCCTTCCATCTCCTCCCA